ATGAGGGGTTGAATCTTTCGCCAAAACAAAGCTAAATGCTGAAAGGTCTGTAACACAATCTTAGAATGTGGTTCAGTTATTTATAAATGGGCCCTCAATACAATTAGTGGTTTTACACCACTTCAGTCTACAAGTGAAGGTATATATAACAACAAGGTCTCTGTGACCTTGATTTCAAAGTACAAATAATTTAAAACGCTGGCTCTTTTTATAGTTTAGAAATAAAGTGGGAGGGGGAGGAAGAGGGGGGAATGGATAAATATTACACTGAATCAGTTATGAGACATCACATTTTTACATTTGAGGTTTCCATTCAAAAAAAANCTTTGAAGAATTGTCTGGGGATTTTTTTTTGGCATTGTCGCAGCCCAAAGATAATAGTGATTTAGAATAGTCCAAAGTGGCTATCGTTGCTAATCCTTAAAAAAAAAGTTCTTTGTCAATTACCATTGCTTTTCCAAAAGCTTCCAATAGCTTTAAATAATGTTGATGAAAACAAATGTCTGTCACTCGGATTTTATGTTGGATATTCATATTTTAACCCTTTACATGCACAATTAAAACACCTGGCAACACTAGAAGTGATGTACTTTTCATCAAGAGTTCCAATGGCATTTATACAATAGGTTTTAATAGGTTCTTTGAAACAGGATTGTTTCTGCTGAAGCCCACCATAGAAAGTGAATACAACTGCTGGAATATAGTGAGAGTGGATACCTCAGACAGACAACTTCACCAAGCACCTATGTTCTTGCATTCGGTAGAACAAAGTCACATAATAAGGTCTCGTTTTCACAAGGTTATGCAGATTAATTAGTGTACCGTATTACCACCAAATCAAGGTACAAATTTGGAAAACGTAGCTTATGAAAATGAGATATTGATGGATATGATTTGTGTCGTGACACTGACAAAGCAGTTTTTAATTAGAAGTTTGAAAGATAATTTCTTTGAAAAAAACACACCATTATACATCTAATTTGCCCTATTCGTTTTACAAGCACTAATGTGGTATAATGTGGTTTAATTAAATTGCATCTTAACACCCACAATTCTGAATTAGGGTACACAATTCTAATTGTAATTGGCAGCTGCTTCAGCTGTTACACTGTATTTTGTAATATACAAAGGGAGCTCCTAATTCTGTAAATAGTTATGTTTAGTTCATGAAAGGATCATGATAAAATATAACACTTAATTACTAACATTACAAGTTTCTGTCAAGTTCGGCTTATTTAAACAAATCATTTGGGATGTTTGCTGCTACCTAATGTCCTTTCTATATAACTTTACGGAAAAAAATATTCTCCTCATTTCACTTGAATAATTCCTATGCACAAAAATCACACACAGGTCAGATGATAGTTACTAATTGTCCAACACCCTCTTTCAAAAGTTGGAATGAGACTTTTCTAAGTTTCGAACTTAGAAATATGGAGAATATTGGGTTCTGTCCACTGTGTGTAGAGCCACAGTGAATCTCAGTACTGTACTGGATTGGAAGTGAAGTAGCACTGCACTTAAATGCATATCTTTTGCAAAGCCAATATTCCAATTTTTAACAGGATACATGATCAGTTTTGTTAGGTTTGCAGCTTGCCTGCTGAAAAACAGTCGATGAAGCCAGGTGAATCCACAGCGAATTGAAGTCAGATTTATTCGCAGCAATGTGGAAGGTTTGAATTTCAGACTGAAATAATATCAATGATTAGAGACTAACAGAAAAAAGGGTGGGGGGGGCAGTAAGACAAGTGTGCAATCTAATCAAAAGTGTTTAACCACACGAGAAAATTTAGACTGAATTTCAACGATCGCTTAAATTCCCTAAATTAAATTATAACCTTCAGATTTACTGCACGATTAATATTAAAACACCACCAGGCAACACACCGTGGTGGACTGAGTCTGACAAAATGCAAAATACTGCAGATGCTGGAAATCTGAAACAAAAACAGAAGTCGCTGGGAACTCTCAGCAGGAAAAATAGCATCTATGGAGAAACTTTTGTTTGAGTATGACAATACTGACTCCCAGCCACAGAGTTGGAGAATATTGGGGTACACTTTGGTAGTTTTTAATTGCTCCTGCCAGCAAGCGCTAGAAACAAATATACCCGCGTTCTTTGCAGGAAAAGCTTCACCATGAATTGCACTGAAGATGATTTATAATATACAAGCCAAAATATTACTTGCAAAAATAACACACAGATAAACTAAAAAATGGAAGAAATCCAAATTAGGAGAAAAGAGTGTTAAACAGCACAACACTAATGCTGTAAATCTGAAGGTTATAATTTCATTTAGGGCATTTAAATTTCCTATGACAAATTCTTCCTAGAGTGCCTTATGATTTCATATATATGATCTTGCACTGTGAAATGCTTTGAACTGTCTCAACAAGGTGCTAAAGTACTATATCAAACGCAAGGATTATTATTATTCTTAAATTGCCCAAAACATTAGTGCTGTACTTTCCGTTTAGCTTCCTTTCATTATAATCACTCACCTCCACAAATAATGTGCTTAACGTTTGAAATAACATGTAAGGGGATTGGGAATTGAGAGATGTGCAGACAGGTTTTTTTTGGTTCCGAATGCAGGCCAACAAGTCTACTTCAATTCTCAAAGGACCACACTTTCAAAACATTGGTGACATCAATTGGCCTCCAAACATGATCCAAACAATACCTTACATAGCTCAGCAATCAACCAATGGAACTCAAACTTTTTGTCGCTCTCTCTTTAAAGCTTCTTGCAGCGGAGGTCTTTTGTTTTATAAGCAGTGATATTTCTAGAGACAACACCTTTGATCCTAGGTACTAGTCAACCTTATTTCCGTGTAAGCACTGTCAACTTCCCAGATTTCAAAAGAAATAGAAACAATGATTGTCCTTACCTAACCATAAATATTTGTAAATGTTTAGAATCTCAACCCAGATTTCACAAAACTATCCTTCGAAAGTTATTGAAATGAAGTAACTTGTGGTCTGAAAAACACTTTCAAGAACAAAATAATACACTCATTGTCAGCTTCTACAGTCAATACAGTCTACAGTCAATATTATCCAGCAAGTCCATGTACTGGAGTAAAAATAATTCATCTGGTTTGAGAAAATCTTACAAAATACAAAATGGAAACATATTGCTTCCTTTAAGGCACTTCCTGTATGTGTCATTACACTTTCTATTATTGAGCCATAACTTTAACCACTGGTTCTATTTGTCCATTTGCTGAGCAAGAACGTGGGCAACTGCAAGCTCTGATGGTAAGAACATGTCCATTTCTCAGTACAAATCTAAACATGACTGATGTTCGATTGTGCTTACATCTAAAGACAATTGGAAAGAAGGAAAGAATTTTACTACTTTGCCAGAAACAACTTGTGGGCAAGCTGGGGTCAGTGATCTGTGTTACTAACCTGATGTAGTGTTTATCCCAAGCACCGCATTGTACAGGTGCAGATACATCAGTCACCCAGCGTCATTGTATTCAATCCTGGAACTCCACAGAGGCTGGATGAAGTGACCAAACTGAGTCTGTCACACAATCAAATACTCTTATATTAAATAAAAATATAACCTCAGGGGTTCTTTCAATGAAGAATGTGAACTTAAATTAGAGATCTATTTCTTCCAGAGAGAATAAGTATTTGCTATTGAGGAATTTGGCCAGGACGCAAGGAGAAACTCCCTTCTCTTTTCGAATGGTGCCATGGGATCTTTAACTTCCACCTAAACAGGCAGACGGAACCTCAGTTTAACACCTCATCTGAAGGATGGCACTTCAACATTGCAACACCCCCTCAGCACTGCACTGGAGTGTCAGCTTTGACCACTACACTAAAGAGTGGGGGAGGGAACAAAAGCAAAATGTCAATCTATTTTCAGTCATTAAGTGTCCCAAAATTGATCAAAGGAAGTTATTTTCTAGGTCTTCTATATTATTTTCTGATCCAGGGTTCAATTGGGGATAAACAGGCCAATTGTCTTGTTCTACCATGAGTCTGAGAGCACTCTTCAGAACCCCAAGATAAGCTGTGAACCCATAACCTTCTCACTCAGAAGCAAGAGTGCTAAACACTGAGCTAGACTGACACACACAATATATACTGATTAGATATCAGTCATTGCACTATTTGTTCAACCCATGGAAGTCCGAATGAAGAGAGGGGATTTTGAACATTAACAATATGGAGACATACATTCATGTTCAGCTCAAAGATTTATTTTCAAATATTAATCACTATATTGGAATTAAGACTAAATACAAATGCACAAGTATTACGTGAGCTGACTACCATATGCAATGAACGCGCAAAGTGTATTGACATCTTACTTCCTCAAATGAACATGGAATCAAATTGATAACTTGATCTAGACTGTGCGCTAGAAGTGGTCCACTTTTTCTATCGTCATGATTCCTGCTATATTACTTATTGCGGTGTGACAAAAAACACTATATTTAGTCCATTTGGGTTAGCAATGTAGATTAGCTGTGCATTAGACCTGTATTTTTATACCACAAGTGTTTCACAAGAGCTTTATGTTTCAGAGAAACTTCACAATACTACCGGCTACTGTTCTTAAAAATCAATTTGAAAAAAAAACCCTGCGCATTATTTTCCATCTCACGTTTCACGAACTTCAACTTTGCATCTCATAAATTCAGTGAAAACGTTTGGTCCAAGTTATCTCTGCATTTTAAAACCCTTCGGAAATTCAACCCTCTTTGAATCTGACTACGAGGCATTATATATTGCATTTTTTAACATTCAAATGGCGACCATTTCAATTCCTCTAATTTGCTTGTGGTTTGAACTTGAGTGCTGCATAAAATAAGGCTCGATCTGTTACTCGACCGTTTCAACTTTCGAAATTTAGCTTTGTCAGCAATATTAAAAATCACTTAAGCGCGGGGGGAAATAAAGGGCAACCTTGAACGCCAAAACTCCCCATTTTTTGAACGTGCTTTCAAAACAAGTTGAAGCTAACTTTGCTCACCTTAAAACGTTTCAGCCTTTTTCATAGTTTCAATGGTGCCGAGTTCCCCGAAAAGCTTTCTTGCTTCCTGCTAGCTGCATGCCTCGCGTCACACTTCCTCACCGCACCTTAAGACCCAGAGCTCACACAAGAGTGGTTCAGAGCAGTGCTCTGTGACGAGTGGTCAAACTCATGGTGGAACAAAACTATTGACTTCTTTATCCCCTTTTGATTCCTGGATCAGATAATTCTACAGAAGAAATAGAGAGGAACTTCCTCTGTTAGCACTTTGACTGAAAATAGATTGACATTTTGGTTCGGTTTGGTTGACTGCCCATTCTTTAGTGTTGGCAGCTCTGAGATTCCACCCTGTGCGAGAGGCGCTACGTTAATGCAAGTTGTTGTTGTTGTGGTAGTCCAAGTCTTTTGCCAGACTTTTAAACATTAGCTCTTCTTAAATTGGCTTGCTTTACAAAGAAGCCTTTTTTTTTNACAATTGCAAATTTCCACAATCTTCTGAAATAAAACAATGGCACAGAAGAAGTCACTGTTTTTTTTTTGTCTGACTTTCCAGCTGCTGGGAATTCAACCACTGCAAACAACAAGTGGAAACGGTAGCATAACAGCAGTCTTTCGAGCTGAATCAGAGAAACTGTGGTGAGCTTTTCATCGCCACTTCAGCACAAACGGTGTACTGAACAGGACTCATTTTCTCCTTATGCTCTTTGGCTAAAACACTGGTGGCAGTATAATTTAAACCTAACTCAGCAAAGAGATACCATCAGTTTTCTTTAAGAAAAAAGTTGAAGTAATTTGCTGAGTCACGTGGCTCACAAAGGAAATACGCAGCATCCTTTCAACAACTTGCTACACAGAAGAAAGCCTGTTTATTTCCTCTAAGTCTTTTCTAAAACAGCCCACACTTCATTGATGCAATTAGTAATTAAATGTTCTCTCATTCAGAGCACTATATACGAATTGTTAATCTTGATTCACTGGTTAAAGTTATCCTTCACTGTCCAGATAAAGCAATGACATTTTCCTCAACCTACATTTGTGGCCATATGTCTGTCTCTTTCCCTTTCTTATTTAAAATCGGACATTATTTGCTCAGCGTCATCAATTAGGATTTCCTATTACCCAAGAAAAAAAAAATGCAATACAGGGAACAAAATAGGGGATTGTACTTTTATAAATGCAAGAGGAAAAAACACTGTCCGAGTCTGTTTTTTTGGTCATCCCCAAAAGAGCATAGTTATCTCGATCTTTATTGCTGTTTTGGTCTGACACACGTAGAAACCCACCACCATGCTTAAGAGTATCCAAACCAGATAGTTTTAGCATATATATGCCACTTACACATATAAATGTGTCTGGAATGGAATGTGCACTCTCTCTGGAAGGACGACTCTACTTACCCAATTCTTGAGACTATTAGACACAGGCCGGCAAGTGTCAAGGCTTCAGCTCCCTCAGTGGGCCTTGGGATACTGCTTTACACATCTGACAAGCTTCTGGTTGCTTGTCCAGGTAGGTCCATCCTATCTGTTAAGGCTTTGACTTGCAGGGTTAACGGCAACTGAGGGGGCAAAATCAATGTTCCCTCTAAGTACTGTCAAAGGACCAGGATGGCTGGTCTATCATCAGCAGTGCCCTGGAGAACTGCAGACCTGCCTGGCTCAGGAATCAGACTCCTGAGACCACCACAAGGCGTTGAATTGATTGTCACCTTGAAGCCAATTCAGTTCCAGAGAGCTCCAACTTTACCTCCCTCCCCAAGGAGCATAGTTATCTTGATCTTTATTGTCAACCTTGTCGATGAGCCAAACACAAATACCTCTGAACAACTCAACTGAATTTTGATTTGTACACATAATAAATACAATTAATAACAGCCAGAAGGAGAATCACCATGTTTCTATAAAAGGGAACAAAATGCTCAAAGTTCTGAAATCAGCACAGGCATCAAGAACAACTTCCCCTCTTTCCTGAGTGCTGGGTCCTACCCAATGCAGAGATCAGTAGATGTTTGCCAGCATAAATCACAGCACAACGTCTAATTTACATCATTCCATTTACAAAATTGAGAATGTGTTTGTTGAATTGCCAAATAATATAAACAAGCAGCTCCAAAAACACAAGCACTAGGACTTAAAATCATAACTATAATATCAACAAACTATATCTACTGACGCTCAATACAGAGAGGTCTTTATATGCCGGACTGATGCAGAAATATGCATGACCTAAGCATTCAGTCTTCTTAACCAAGCACCCAAGGTAACAGGAATTTCTTGCATACGTGCAGGAGAAGTGTGATTAGTTCATTTACGAAATCAGAGCTTTACCGTGTTAACAATGTGCAACTCCAAACCTAAGTGGAATGTGTGTAATAGTTTTCAGGAAACAACTAGTGTATTATCAAGCAAAGCGTGAGCCAACCAGTTTAATATATCACTGATAAGTCCATTTGTGAGTGCCCAGTATAAACCAAATAAATACTTGTCATTGCAACTAAATCATAAGATTGTGAGTGAGCATTCATTGCGGAAAATCAAGCAGAAGCTGTTTCAACAGGAATACTTCAATTACACTGTATGTGTAGAGGGTAGATTTAAACTTGATATCGCTCTGTTTTGTAATTGTTTTAACAGATCTGAACTCTCATGACTGCAAGTGTAGTATGTTGCTTCGTCAACAACATTTGGCACCAGACTACTCCAGAATGCCATGCTTGTTATCACCACTGCGAAAGACTTAATAATTCTCTGTTCAATTATTCAGTTTTCTTCACTCAATAAATAATTTTCCATAGTTATTAGCCAGTGAGGTTCATTCATTTACAATGTTTGTACAATTTGCACATACTGCAAATGTCACCTTATAAAACAAATCCTCAGTCTCATATGCCCTGTAACATACAGTAATTGATATACCTAGGGAACCATAGAGAAAAAATTAACTGTGTGATCCAATCAATCATACATGAACATTTTAAACAGGAGCTTAAAATTACACATACCACTAATACTTAGATGCAGAGAAACATTTTAAAATGGTGGACTTTGGATTTGTTAGAAATTAATTATAATTCTTAATTGCCAAGCAAGACATTTTATATTGTGTTGGGCATTCTGTTCATCGCGCCTTGAAATGCTTTTTGGGGGGGGATTGGTAGCTTTGTTGATCATGAAAAATGACAATGTTAAAAACATTTCCCCACATTTAACACATTGAGAATTCCTTACTGAAATAGTTTCACTGGCTCGAGCATGTGCTTTAATTCATATCAGCTTCCCTCTCTTCCTCTTTCCCCAACACCCATAAACGCACTCACACGCACCATTGCAGCAATATGGTATTTGTGTTTCCCACAAGAGTCTTTGTCAAGGCATCCTGAACTGAGATTTGCCCAATTATCTGTCGTCTTGCAGAATACATTGTCATTCCTCACATCCGTCTATGATCAATTAATTTCAAGCACACGGAATAAATTGAACCTTTGAAAAAAAAGGCACTCTTCAGCACATTTACCAGCATGTTATTAGAGGAGAAACAAGTAAGAAAAGCAATTTAAATGAATTATTCTTCAGCGGCAATCACCTGTACTGGGTAATTGAAGACAGACCAGCATCTTATAATCAGCTCTCATTCTCAACTCTGAAAAGTCTATGATTAGTGTTTGCTTAGAGTTTTAGATATTCTTTGAGCACTAAACTATTTTTCTGGCTATTTGTAGCTTTCAAATTAATTACAGTTCCAGCCGCAAAAAAGTACGAAACAATTCTTTACTGTTATTGACATGGTGATGGTAATGATTGGCTATATTCTGGAAAGATGAGATCAATTGGGCCAAATTGCCTTCTTTATCCGTGTTGTCTACAATTGTCCTCAGTTGATTTACAGTATGTTTAGCTGTATGTTTTAGCATGTGTCATCCTGGCACAGTGGTTCAAGTCCCAAGTCTGGCATCTAGTCTGAGCTGATACGTCAATGCAATGCTGTGGGTGTGTTGCGTTCTTGGGAGGTGTTGTCCTTCGGATGAGACATTAAACCGATGCCCCGTCTGCCTGTTCAGTTGGACGTTAAAAGCTCCCACGGCACTATTGAAAAGGAGAAGGGAGTTTCTCCTGGCGTCCTGCTCAACAAGTCCCCCAAATAAAATTGATGACTGTTCCATGACTGTTTGCCGTGTGCAAATTAGCTGCCATGTTCTCTCATAAAATACACGGTCACACCACTTTGCAGTATATCCTGTGAATCGCTTTGAGACATTTTGACGACTTGATAAGGTGCTATATCAAATGCAAAGATCATTTGGTACTAGCTGAAAGGACAGTAGAATTTTTAAAAAAACATTTCCCCACTAATGGATTACAACAGAAGCATACAATATCTTTGCTGTTAACTCATTTTAGTCCGTGTTACCTCTGTACCGGTGAGAGCATCGTGCAGGTATTAATCCTGATAATCATTTTGTTTTGGTTCAGTTGTTTCAAAGATAATGCTCAACCCCTCATCTCATCCCTTCGAAAAACTCTCAGCAGTAGGATTAGATTCTGATAAATTTATTACAGTTATTGACTTAAGTAAATGAACTGCTTTTTCCTATAATTGCACAGATTTCTGAATATTTTTTAAAAAAAACTCTTGTGAAACTGTTGTGAAACTACAGTGGATTGCAAACTGCATACAGCAGATTAAATGCAACAAGCAATCAAAAGGAGTTCCAATATTTTACCATCTCAGTATTTCAACTGGCAGATTGCTGTTCCAGGAGGCTTGTGTTTTATCACAGCCTACAATAAGATGACCCATCTTAACCTACAAATGGACTTATTCCTTAGGGAGTGACTTTTTATACGCCTGGAGAAAGTGATATACAATATACATTTAAAGGGACACTGTCTTCATGAGAAAATGTTCAAGAATTTTTTAGTTTCCTTCAGGAAACAAAATGCTGCTGCTGCTACTCATAACAAACCCGCTTTTTGTCTGAGCCGACTGATGCGAGCCTTGGCGATGTCAGAACATCGACCCTCACCACAACTCAATCTTGAATTGGGCCAATCCAGTGGTTGGCTAAAGGGGAACACAGGCTACTCTCTCAGCTGCATTTGGTGTATCTTGAACAAACAACAACCACAACAACTTGCATTTCTATAATGCCCTTCATGCTGGGCAGCTTCTCGGAACGCTTAATTGTTCAACATATTAATAACCCCATTGCTTCAGAATACAAAAGCAGCAAAGATGTCTGGCAATGCTGGAATAAATATACATTGTTGTCCCTTAACTGAAGCATACAGCTGTATGTTTATATAAATGGGATTACAATAGTAGCAAGAGCGTTGCATCCATGA